AAGAAAAAAATGTTACTGAAGTAGACTGTCACAGTTCCTTTTTCAATTTTACAGAAATGAGGACAAGTTGAAAAGCAGACACAATATGTCTCTTCAAAGAGAAAACTAAGAACAACACAAGTAATTTGTTTCAATAAGCAAAAAAAAAATATTTTGCTGAAAATATATAGAGGTAGTAGATGGGACACTTTTTCAAACTGAAACTGGGAAACTTAGCTAATACTTCAAAAGATTTTCACTGATGACATGAAATAAGTTTGTTGATAATTTCAGAAATGATGGCATATTAAAAAAAAGGGAAAGATGTAATGCCATTGTGCAATTCAGAACCTGAATTCCATCTTTTGCAATCTTTTATTGGATTTGAAAAGTTTGGAATGAAAAAAATTAGAAAATAATGGTATCTGGATGGTTCAGAAATAGTATGTTTTGCTAAAATTCTCAAAATTGCACTGAAAATCCCAACAAGAAAAATTGCATAACAAAGAATAGGTAGTTTCTAATATCTTATTTAATTTTTAATTACAAAATTATCATTTTTGATAGAACATTGTCTTGCTGGATTTATTAAAATCCAGTTAGCTCACAAGTTTCTTGGCATATTTACACATATATACAAAAATATTTAAATACAAAAATTACAAGTATGAACTAACTGTTAACTTCAAAATTCACAAATAAAGACATTTTCTACTGTGATAGTAGCATCACTTGGAAGCTGGATTTCTATAATTTATAATTCTAACACACATTTTCTTAAGGTTTATTTAGTTAGTTTGCTGTTTTAAAATGTTTTTATTCAATAACTAGAATATGTAAAAAAATCAAAGCAATCTATTGTTTAGAGCATATAATCCCAGGAATAGTTTAATTTCTTCCACAGAGTAGTAATTCCTCTCCTTTCTTTATCCATATCGCTAAAATCTGATTCAATGTTCTGTTTTCCTTGTATGAGGGGATTCTGTTCCAGTGGAGAGATTGTGATATGGCTTCTCCAAATTTGCATCTAGGCAGTGTATTTACTGAAAAATCAGATTCTTAATCTATGATTTTGTTGACAGGGATAATTAATCTGTTAAAATGGCACCTGGCATTTCTTATCATGGGAAAAGTAATCTGCCTTTATCTTAGTCAGCCTTTTATGGACACTGTTGCCTTTAATGGACACTGTTGCAATGAGGTACTGTGTTTTCTCATAGCATTGTGACTTTCAGCAAGCCTCTGAAACTCTTGACAACTATTTTCTTCTCTGTTTATCCTGATTTTCAGGATTGCTCAGTAATGTCTGCTAAATTCAGTAATGGCAATAAATAGCTGTTCCCTTTTATCAGCATGTTTGACAAATCTAACTTGCACTTTTTTGCTCTATAGGAACTAAAGATGAAAAAATTGTTTTTCACTGATGGCAGTAGAAAATAAAGGGATGCCTATGCAGGGCTGTCATTTGGATGTGTAAAACTGGAGGGCATTTGTAGTAGTTCTGCGCAGGGACAAATTTGTGCCAGTTTTGGATCATAGTTTTTTTCGCACTTGGCTTTGTTCTAAAGGAGATAGAAAGGAAGATCCATCCCCAAGAAGTGGGACAGAAGACTAAAAACCATTCAATGAATTGTAGATACTTGAAATGAAATACATTTGTCTTGTGCATAGGTTACACAGTTTGGAGGGGAGACACAATAGATATAAGGCCCACTCATACCTTGGTCCCAGGCTGCTCTGAAGGTTAAAATGGCATTTTCTGTCATGAAGTAAATGGAACAGAAGCAGAGAAGTTCTTTCTTAAATTGCTTTGGGTGCAAGTGTGTTACACATTTGCAATTTCTCTGTAAGCTTGATCCATTGGCCAGTCTTTTGGCAGCCATCTAAAGAGTCCTGCCTGGAACAGTTTCTGGTGGAGATTTGTGATTGGCATACAAAAGCACGAGGGAAGGAATATGAAAGGTACATATGTTTAAATACCAGTTTTCTTTGGATTAATGCAAACAACTGTGACAACAGGATGACAACAGAAAGCATCAGGCTTCATGCATATCCATACTTTAAACTATGCTTCCCCATGTTTTAGTGAGTGATATGCAAATCCTCTATCATTGTTTTCAACTAAATAACTGTGTAGGTATTGTGTCAGGCCTCATTCATAAGATCATGCGGTATGTTCTTTCAAACTAAGAGGGAGAAGTGGTGATTAGCTTCTGGTTTGTCATCACCTCTTCCTTGATGAAAATGGATTGTGGTGATGAAAGGTCAGACTGAAGAGGCTGTAGACTGGACTCCAATAATTAGACGCTGTTTGCTGATATGCTCGTCTGTCTTCCATAGGACCACTTAAACCACAAGAGTGGTTCTTCCTCCAGAGAGCTGCTCTCTCTGGAATAATTTTGATGGTTCCATTGGCAAAGGGTCTGGTTAGTCACAGCTTCTGCAATGGTTTACCATTATGTCCCCCTGTTCCTTAGAAATGCAAGTTTTTAGGAAGTGGTCAGACAGGATTTCTCATTGAATTTCATTAGAACTGATTCTAGGTAGGAGAATGGTAACAATATTCTGGGTCTAGGAGATTCTGAGATTTGTCTGAAGCTCTTCAAAACACCATTGTTGATCTATTTATCAAAATAGTTTTATATTGCTGGGCTGAGTTGTAGCATTCCTTGTGATGCATGTTTACATAAAAGGAAAAGCTTAGAAAGGGAGTAACCTTGTTTCTGGTCCTTATGGTCCAGCTTTCACTTTCTTCTACTTCCATCTGAGGATTTACTAAGGACTGCTATAGCAATGAGTCTAGGAACTGTTTTTCACAATATTAATCATATTTTCCTTCTCTCTGTCATATTTATAGGCTTTTGGACCAGAAAAGAAGTAATTAAATCCTTAAAAATGAAAAGAAGGCATAAAGGAAAAAGGAAGCGTTCATTAGAGGAACTAGCTCATCCTAAAGGCTCTGTTGCAATAGTTTGTAGATACATATGCATGTTAAACTGTGTTTATAAAATCTGAGGGACTTAATCCAAGTCCATATTTCCACATTTGTTTTCTAGCATTGTATTACATTAAAAAGCTGTAGCAGGCCTCATGCAGCTTTAAATATGCAGAATTAGCATACAATGCTAATTATGACAGACACCTGCCTGCCGATGGGAAGCATTAAATGAATTCCTTGTTTTGCTTTGCTTGTGTGCACAGCTTTTGCTTTACCTATTAAACTGTGTTTATCCTGTTTAGGAGCTTTTGCTTTACCTATTAAACTGTGTTTACCCTGTTTAGGCCACAAATTTTCTCACTTTTACCCTTCCAATTCTTTCCCCCATCCCACCATGAGGGGAGCGAGCGAGCGGCTGTGTGGAGCTTAGTTTCCAGCTGGGGTTAAACCACAACATACATGTTGAGCTCCATGCTGCTCCAAATGCAGGCTGTTCCTGAGGTACGTTATCTAAACAGCCCGAATGTCAATTACGCTGCTCCAAATGCAGGCTGTTCCTGAGGTATGTTATCTAAACTTAGCCTGAATGTCAATTATATGTTTCAGACAGAACAGACACATTCACTGTCATGCATCTTTAACTTAATCTCATGAAGAAAAATCTTGGCAAAGAATATCTGGGATCGAATCTCATGCTTGCCACATCCTGTCTGCATTCATGAAATGCCCCTACTGCTCCCTATAGTCTAAAATGTCTGGTGGCAAACCCACGTCTATGCATTTCTTGTTGAGTCATGGAGAAGGGTTTCACAATCACCTCTAGACAGAGCTCTCAGAAGCAGTTCCTGCTGTTGGAGGGTATGAGATGTGAGCCCCAGTGAGCACCATCTGCTGTTGACTGATACCTCCGAACATCTGCAGAACATCTGTGCTGAATGCATGTCAGTAGCTATTGCTGCCTGCCACAGGAAAAACTGTTTGCCTGGCTGTTACCAATTCTCTTTTCAGTTTTCTCATGCCCTAGACAAGTTATTTTCCTATCTTCTCCCTGCATATGCAAACCATGGCTCTGTAATCTTCCTGTGAAGCCTGACCTTGCTTCCAGAAAACATACTATTTCTTTTTCCTCTTGAGCTCCACGAAGGGTTCCTTGTTCAGTCAAGCTGGATTTCTGCACCACTTCTTGACATTGTGACACAATGGAATTGCCTGCTCCTGTGCTTTTAAAATGTAGTTATTAAAAACTGACCATCACTCAGGACCCCTAAGCCCTCAAAAGCAAATTCTCAGTGGACACTGCTAAGTAGCTCCCTAAACAGTATAAGGTTTGCTCTCCTGGAGTCCAGAGTAGCAGCTCTGCCTGCTCGTTCTTCTCATTACACTGAAAAATTTAAACTCAACCATTTTGTGGTAACTATAGCCAAGACAGCCACCTACCATCACATCTCCCACAAGTCCTTCTCTATTCATAGAGTACAAGTCTAAGAGGGCGTCTTTCCTAGTTGGCTCACTGAGTGCTTGCGACAAGAAATTATCCTCAACAAACTTCAGGAATTTCCCAGTCTTGCTTGTCACAGCTGCATGGTATTCCCGTAAAATCTAGTATTTGGAATTCAAGGTTTCCCTGTTAGAGCTGTAATTGTATGAGATTTTCAAGTCATTTTTCAGGACTCAAAAAGGTAATTTTTTACTTCTGCAATGAATACAGATATGTCTTTTTCCTAATTGAAACCTCATAGGTTTTGTGTGCTGTGAGCTTTTCAGCAGAAAACTGAAGACAGGGAATATTAAGAATTTCTTAACAGTTTAAAACTAGCATGGAGAAAAATGCTAAACTAAATGCAAAATTATGTCTTGGGATTTGAAATAATCTGATAATTTCATGGCTCGAATGCGGAGCTGTTATGTTCCAGAGTCTTTGTTGAAGTAGCTGGATGGGAAGTCTCATCCAGTTTCATCACAGAAATAAATCAATAAAAATACTATTTTTGGAAACAGGCATTGTGCTTATATTAACTTCCTTGCTTCCACAGAGGACAGACTGGCACGGTCAGGCCTGTTTGCTGTGTAGTTAAATACGCACCATTCACGTCCAATATTGCATCTACTTTGCCATTGATTCCTCTGAACTCTTTAGGAGTATCTTTTGCATGGTCTTTTCCCATCTTTCTTTTCTTTTCATTGTAGCTTTGAAAGAAGAAACAATTATTATGAATGGACCAGTGTTACTGGTCTTTTTTTCATGCCTTTGAAAATGTATTTGGAGTGGCAAGACTTCTTCACTGCAATCAATAGATAAGATCTAAATAGTGCTTTTGATGGTGGTGTTTGAGGAGCAGTAAGATAATAAACAACCCCTTCCTGCCTCTTTCTGCTGCCTCTCCCTCAAGAAAGTGTGCAACCCCTACACTTGCTCACTCCCAGCAGCCCTGCTATGGCTGTTTACTCTTCACCTACGCAGATGGTTTCAGGCAAATTCACTTGGATTGTGCAGTTTGCATAATATAGTCTGCATGGATGCAGTTATACATTCTCATACCTTAAAAAAAAAATATGAATTGCATAGGTAAGAAAAGGAAATGTTTGAAGATCTTGGTTAAATGTGCTAGTAGAAAATCTATTGGGAGCCATAGGAAACTGCTTGATCTAAGAAGAAAGCTATAGAAACCGCAAGTAAGAAACATCATTAGGTTTAGAATAATGGAAGTTTTCTAGGACTGGTAGAGAAGGCTCGTGAAAACCAACTCATGGTTGTTTGTCCCTAAGATTAGTGTCCCACTGTCAAGTCAATAAAATGGAAAATCAGATTAAAAGCTTTAATGCTACTTTTAATGGTAAACTTCATGGAAAGACCGATGCACTCCATAGCAACTTTGCTAAGTACTAAGTACAGTAGCACAGACATTTGGTTTAGTTCCATACTTAATTATTTTATTACTCATGACTATGCCAGAAAATACACATGCTTTGTATTCATCAAATCAAATAAATTTTATACCTCCTATGAACATTTTACAGCTTTTCTGAATGTGGTTTCTTTAGAATGAATCAGTGTGTTCGCTCAGTGGTTTGAACAGCTGTAATAATATTGCATTCATTCTGCATCCTTATTCCATTTTCTTAGCAAGGGAGCTGATTTTAAGATAGGTGGGTAGGAATTTTCCAGAAAACTTTTCTTGGAAAAGTAATGGATTTTTTTCCCCCTTCTTTTGGAGTAACTGCCTCTTTCTTAAATTTTCAGTTACCATTTGTTTTTCTTTTTTCACCAGGAAAAGCAAAGAAACCAAATTTAAAAACGAATATATTAGATAAGAGGGATAAATAATCAAAATTGTTTAGGAAAGCAACGATGTGAAAATATTCCATTATCATTTTACCAATTTTAAGATATTTTTATCCTTTGTTTCCTTAACTATTTTAAGTATTTCAAATTGCACTTCTACTTAGATGGAGTTGGAAAATTTTAAGGATGATGGATTCTATTTTAAATGCAGGTTAGACTGGCTCCTAGGCTGTGCATATTTCTCCCCAGCTTCTTTCTGGAGAAAGAATGAGCAGTAGTAAGGGTGCAAAAGGGGCTTGTGGTAATAACGGATCAAGTACATGTATCTAACACATTTTTTGCTGGTTAAGGGCCCAGGACTTAGACAGATATCTCTGTCACCTCTCTTGCTCTCTTCCTCTGGTGCAGTTTGGCGTTTACAGAAGAAGTTTAGCTAAAAAGTTTATTTCAGGGCTATTTTGTGCCTTGTGCTATTTGGAAGAATATGGAATAAATATTTTGAGGATCTTCCAAACATGGGCACCTCTGAAACTGGGGGAGCCGAGATGTGGCAAACCATGCCTGTGCTTTGTGTTTAACCATGGCATGAGAGTGTAGCTCACTCTGCTTATGAAATCGACAGCCCTGGGGAGGCTGGAGAGATGGCAGAGAAATCTCTGGCTTTAGCTCTGTTCAATGCAGGCACCCTCCAAACTATTATTCAGAGATTAGGTAAAACACGGGTCCAGATTGGTATAATGGAATTCTTGGTTGAAATACTCATATACAGCCATATACACTGTAGGCATCTAAATTTTTTTTTTTCAGACGTATCCAATGCTTTTATTTTCTCTGCGTTTCCTTAGTGAAAAATAAAATCTTTGTTTTCCAATAGTAGTACAGTCCAAAAGGGTCAGGAGGTAATGAATGTGTGTGCAACATTCATCTCTCATGAAGAGCATCTCCTTTTTATCCTTTAGGTAGTCCACTGCATCAATGTGCTGCTCTTTTTGGAAAAAACTAAGTCAGAGATGGTGTAAGGGGGGCTCGGCGTTTGAAATCCTTGAGTAACCCAGTAATAAGGGCCTGAAAAGGGGAAGGTGTTACTCAAAAATTATCAGTCTCCCAGCAGTGCAGTTGCAGGTACAGCTCTTGAATCTGAATTTGAAGGAAAAAGATGGCACCAGTATGATTCAGCACAAGAGAAAATAAAACTGCTACATGATGCAACTGGTGATGTATCTTGTGCCAACAGCGCAGACCAGGTTGAACACTGGTCTTCCTATAAAGCTTTAGGATCCGACTGATGATGTCAAAAGCCCTAAAAGACCTTGGATCTGATTAATGATATCTCACTTTTCAATACAAATTAATAGAAAATAGTTCAAATGCTAAAACATCTCATTTAATGAGCTGGGAAATTCTTCATCACTTGATGTCTTTAGATAAAGATTGGACCCCTCCTGCCCCCAAAATAAATGACCTTTACGAAAATAAAACAAATTCCTCTCAGGAACTTCATAAACAGCAACAGCACTTAACATGAGCTAAGAAAAGGAAAGAAAGGGAAGGGAAGGGAAGGGAAGGGAAGGGAAGGGAAGGGAAGGGAAGGGATCAGTCAAGAAAATCAAAGGCAAGAGACGCATTTGGAAGTATGTTTTCCAGACACATTCACAGCCTCCTATGTGAATGAAACAAAATAAGGCAAAGGGTACTGCTGAGGGC